GAATGCGTGATAACATAAAGATTAATGCCCATGTTATGTGTCATGAGAGCTAGAGGTATAGTTGACATGCCAAGAGTCGAGGGTCTACGTAGTCCTTCGGGATATATATGTATTCTTTGGAACTTGTGTGAGGTCTTTTGAGACACATACTTGATCCTTGGCATATGTATATGATTCTTAAGGAATGATATATGGTCCTTAGGGACAACCTTATATGGCACTTCGGTGCATTTCTACGCGGTACTAGGGTGTAATTCTACGTGGCACTTCGGTGCATTTATACGAGCTGTGGTGACAGCATTAGTGCACAACCTCTATAAACTCACATATCTATAGTTCTCAGAAATGTACATAGGCTAGACAAAGATATAACAATAAATATATTACATGTGAAAAATATGCTTTTGTGATATATGTTGATATGTGTATTGCACGAGTCATATGATGATATGTGTATTGTTTGGTTACACGAAGCATATGTTGGTTAACAAGGTTAAGTTCAAGAGGATATGATCAACACATATAAATGATAATAATATGGATAGTGAAATAAGGCTAATGATAGAAATGATGAGTGAGGAATATATGTGTTTTTATATGTAATGATACATATATTGCATATGTGTTACAGGGATTTGTTACATGAATAAGGGTATGAGTGATAGTAGTAATGGTTTATACATGATTACAAGCTATAGTTTATATTTTATGTTTATTGCCTCACTAAGTCATCGACTTAGCGTGTGATTGTTTCACACGTAGGTTACCAAAGTGAGAAGAGTAAAGAGCAATGTAGAGCAAGACAAGTAAGTTATTCTTACCAAAGGTCAGATCAGAAGAAAGGTGAATAATATGTATTTTAATACATAAATTTCTAGTTGGCATGTATTCAAGATAATATATTGTATAAGCTCTGAATAGTTCGATAAAGGTTTTGAATAAGTTATATGTAATAATAAATTTTAAATTACTCACTATTTTATACAAGTAAAGGTTTTTGAAAAGTCAATGTGACACTTCGGACTCAGATCCGGGTCGGATACGGGTTGGGGGTGTTACAGAAACCCTCATTTTTTCGTCTCTCTCTTTGTTTTGTTCCTGAATTCCTCTCATTTTGTTGTGTGTGTGTTTTCTCATCCCCTTTTATAACGAGACCCCTCCCTTTTTATTTTTTATTTTACATGTGCATAAAAAAAGATCACAGATTTTTTTGTTCATTTTTTTTATTATTCTTGGCTTCGGGTGCTCTGTTCGAAGAGGAGACATCGACGGGAGACACGTTTTAGGCGGAGGTGACATGGCCGAAAGAACGGGGGTAAAAAATAACCCCAAGGTCCCTTTGGCGATTTCTGCGATGACCGATGAGAAATCCGACAGCGGTGATGAAAGTAAACCTCAAGCAGTAAAGAGTACCAGACGCGTGCACCTCATGCGGGGAGAAGGGAAGCTAGGTGACGGCTATTGCTGGCAAAGGGTTTAGGTTGAAACCCGAGTTTGGGTTGATCTGGGTCGTTGGATCAATCTTGATCCAATGGCTGAGATCTCGCGGCGTCAGGGTTAAAGGTGTGAAACCCTAGTTGTCCCCTCTTCACGGGTAGACCACTGCAGAGCTTCAACATTAGGCTTTTGTAAAAAAAACATGTTTGGCCTGCTTTTTTAGTTAATGAAATTTCTATATACCCTTTGTTTAATAATAATAATGATGAAAATAACAATATCAATAATAATAATAATAATAATAATAATGATAATAATGGTGATTTCAATAATATTTTTATGTAATAATAATAATAAATAGTATTTAAAATAGGTTGGGTAAAAATATGGTGACTACACATTTTAATTGTTATCACGTTGATCTTCTCTGCTTTGGACACTCAGATTGGATTTGATACGCAATTTGCATTCGTGAATAGAATTTTCACGTCGCTCAATTTTGATTTGTGATTTTTTGGTGACCTTTCAATATCCCCATCCCCTTTTGTTATTTGTTTATCGATGCGATCAGATATGTTCGTCCTTTTATTCGAGTTTATTTGGTTAGGTTTTTTAATATTTTCCTTGTATGGTCTTTTTTATATTAAGTGGCTAGTTTTCTCGTGTTTAAGAAAATATTTTTATTATGTGTTTAGTTTACGATTGTGATTGTAAACTAGGGATGACAAATTCACCTGTATCTGACGGGTTTCGACCCAATCGAGTTGGATTCTTTTTTAAAAAAAAGCGGGTTCGAGTCAAGTCGGGTCAATTTTTTTAAAGGGTGAAGTCGGGTTCAGATGGAGGATGAAGAAAACTTTGACCTAACCCGATAATAATAATGTAATTTCCTTAAAAAAATTATTTTTAATTAAATCCTTAATTTATACCGGGTCAAGTCATGTCGGATTTATACTCTAAAAAATCGAGTCGGATGGATGATTTATATTTTTCGGGTCGTATGTAGAATATAAAATTTTCGTGTTCGGTGGAGGGTGTAAATTTTCAGGTCGAGTTGGGTTGACCAAAAATTGGACCCAATCCCGACTCGTTGTCATCTCTATTGTAAACCTTCATTGTAATTTAGATATTTTTTTTATTTTTAATAAAACTAGTGGCATTTATAAAAAAAAGAAGGAAAATAATATTCCTAGGGACGAGTTAAAAGAAAGATTCTTGAATCAGTTTACCTCGACTTAAAGCCATCAAAGACTCTATGATATTGTTTTATTCACATCTAATATGTTAAATTTTCACCTCTGAATATGAAGAGATATGATGCTAATACGAAAGGAATATATTATCAATAGAAAATTTATAAAAAAAAATAATATAAACAATAAATTTTAAATCAAATTATATCTGTCAACCTCTGTTTCTGCCTTCCTCGATTATGAAAGAAAATATGACACAGTACATGTATTTATGTGAATTAGGTTGCTCTATAATTACACAATTAATAATGGAGACTACCTCCAACCTCACTCACTTGACAAACACAACATATAAAAATCATAAATTGCACTTTGGTAATTGTCGAAACTGTCTTTCGGGTGGGCCCCGGAATTAGGCTTCGACTTAGATTAAACGAATTGGAGTCATCGCCGATCATTTATTTTAAAACAAATGGGTTGATCAGATACCCTATTTCTTACCTGATATGTTTCTTTCCAAAGATATGTCAGATTTGGGAGTCGGTTTCAGTCAATAAAGGGTTAGCACCCTTGAACTGCCCTTTTGGTACTACACAATTTCCAGTTGTCTTTGTTGCCTTCGAAACTTTGCAAAAAAAAAAATCTTTGATTGCTCCAAATTTTTTGTTCATATTTCGTCTATCAATTGTGTGTTACAATAGTAAGTTACAATGGTTATTTATAATACTTATAGATCCTATTTTTAGGAGTTTGAATCATAGTAAAACTCTATCATATTTTTAGGAGTTTGAATCATAGTAAAAATCTATCATATTTTTAGGAGTTTGAATCCTAGTAAAACTCTAACGTTTTGTTTTTTTTTTCTAAATCCCACTAAATCGAGGTTGTTGAGAGTGTTGTACCCGAACGAAAAGGTATGTTGACAGTAATGTATTAATGGAATGTAGTTTAGGTAGAGTTTTTGCATTTAAGTTATATTTTGATTCATAAATTATAGGGAAAAGTACACAAATGATCCTTCGACATAAGGTACTACTTTATTAAGTTCATAAACTATTAAAAGTTACAAAATGATCCTTAGATTATAGAGTATTGCTTTGTTGAGTCCCTCGACTATTGAAAGTTACAAAATGGTCACCCGACTCTTTCCTATGTTCTAGAGTCATCATTTTTCGTTAAAAAATTGGTAGTTGTTTAAACTTGATGTACATGATGACTGAGATATGATAGTCGTTTGAGATTTTGTGATCAAATTTTATCATACCATAGTCAATAAGTTAATGTTTAGCTTAGAATATAATCCATTTTTTAGCAGAAAATGATGAGTTTAAAAACATAATGAATAGTTGGGTAACCATTTTGTAACTTTTAATAGTAGAGGGGCTTAATAAAATAATATCTTATAATCAGGGGTCCATTTGCATTCTTTACCCTAAATTATATTACTATCATTTGGTATTTGTAAAATATTATAATTCAATGTGTCTTTAAATTTTTAAACATGAAGCATGTGATGTGATATGTATATTAAATTAAAAAAGTTGCATGACATTTTGAGAAAAATATAATGTGACATAAAATATATATTAAAATAAAAAATTTAAAAATTAGAAACGTCTTAAAATTAAAAAATATTATATTTTTCAATTTTTAATTTTTTTATAAAATTATAAAATATATTTTTTAAAATTAAAAAAATATTAAAATATACATAAAGGCTAATAAAAGTCTAATAATTTATGATTCTTTTTAAAATATTGAGGGTTTTCTAATTTTCCTCTATTTTTATGATTTTTCATGATAAATATTATATATTATGTTTTAAAAAAATAATGAAAAAGAAACATCATATAATTCTTAGTTTTTTTAAAACATAAATTTTTGCAAAAAAGTTATTACATATTTTTTTTTTAAAAAAGTAGAAGTTTTTTTAAAAAAAATACAATTTTAAAAAATAATAAATCCAAAAAATACAGAAAGAAGCTTAAAATATATATTTTATAAACATTTAACATTTTTTATTTTAAAATATTTTTTACCATTTTTTAGAAGTTTTGGTTTTTTTTAGTATCTAAACTTTTAATATTTTCAAAACCATACCTAAAGTTTAGTTTTTTTCATTTTAGTATTATGTCATTAGAAACTTTATTTATTTTTTTGTTTCATTTTAGTACATGCTCAAAACTTAACGTCAAGTTTTGAAAACATTGAAATTTTAGGTACTAAACCTGGCCAAAACTGATAATGTAAGTATTAAACGTGTTAAGTTATTAACGATGAAGTATTAAAAATAAAATGAAAACTAAACGTTAAGTATGATTTTGAAAAAGTTGAAAGTTTAGGTAATTAAGATATAGAATAAAGAGAAAATAGACTAGTAAGGTTTATTTCCATGCATAACGTGTTCTGAAATTACACAATAATTTAGTGCAAAAAATGCTAAGCTTAAGTAAACTCTGTTGACTTGATTCAGCTTTTTCAACGACAATAGCACAAAATGAAAGGAGCAAGCTAGACCCTTCAAAGCTCATCCTGCAAACCAAACAAAAGGACTTGTTAGTGTATGACGTAAATAAGGGACAAAATCAAAATAAACCAAAATTTAAAGGTCTAAATAGGCATTTATCGATATATTTTTTAATGATAAAAAATATTATGGAGGCAGAGACCCTCCAAACCCCTACATAACTCCGTCAGTGCACAGGTTCGAAGTTTCTTAAAGAAATTTATGTTGTTTTCAATCATAGAGTAATTACATAAACTCGAGAGCTAAGTCAAGTAGAAGTTGATACTTACATGATCATCGATGTAATCGCGAGGATGCTGCAAAGAAAAACATCACAGTTACAAGTGTTTCGATTTCAGATTTAAAATTTAGGATGTAAGAAAGATTTTAGTAGGAAAAGAAGACAGACTCTTCTGTATTTGTCTCTATAGCGATCCCGATATCGTCGATCGTAACCCCTTTCTCTTCTTCTCTTCTCTCCTTCCTCTCTTGCTCTTTGTGCTTCCTGCAAGTGTTTCAAAATCGTCATTCAAGGAAAACGAGTTTCGTAGTAAAATTCATGGATGAACATAGGGAGCAAAGGTCTGTTGCCAACCTCTTCTTCTCGTGCCTTTCGCACTTTCTCTGCTTCTTCAAATGCCTCTTTTTCGATCTCCTGGTTGGCAAACACCTCATCTACCACTTGTTTCGCGTACTCTGCATCATCACATATCAAAACATTGTCGAAAACCGAACCAGCTTTCACCTGTTTCGTAGAGATAGAGGAAGGATTTTATATCAGAGAATATAATTAAAAAAATCTAAAATATATGATAATTTTATATTTTAAGGGGACAACTGTCCCATCCACCTCGCTCGATCCATCCCTGTTGTTCGGTATAATTCAAATGCATCATAAATCAAAACAGATATCCATGTTCATTAGAACTACCTGCCAAACTTCAATGCCCACGTATTTGATAGGCTTAAGCACATACAGATCAGGATCATCTTCAAACTCTGGGGAGAAGGAGCAAATTCTTCAATTACAAATATTCTTATCTTGAACAAATACAAGAAAATTAAAGGATAAACTACACATTTGGTATCTAACTATTAGTTTTGATCCGTTTTAGTACATAATTTTTTTAATTTTTTCAAAATTATACATAAAGTTTAATTTTGTTTCATTTTAGTACCATGTAGTTAAACATTTTAGTTCCATTTAAAATTTAACGTCAAGTTTTGAAAATATCGAAAGTTTAGGTCTTAAAATGAATCAAAACTGATAGTTTAGGTACAAAACATGTTAAAATTTTCACAGTGGGATACTAAAATGAAATAAGAACTAAACGTTAGGTATTGTTTTGAAAAAATTGAAAGTTTATTTATTAAAATAGACCAATTAGGTACTAAATGTGTAGTTTACCCAAAATTGAAACATGCATTGCAGGGTACCTGGATTGTCAATATAAGGAATCTTCCATTTGCCCTTATAGTTAGGGTTCTTGATTCTCTGTAGCGTAAAAAGAAATGTTGCATTGATGAGAATCTGCTGTAAAAAAAAACTTAGGCCTCATATTTGCTTGTTAGCATTAGAACAAACCTTGGGTTTCCATGGTCCTCTGTATTTCGGATTCGGTATCTTTGGTGCTCTCCAAATACCATCTTCTTCTTCATCCCAATGATCAGGCTAACCAGTGAAAATAACATGAGTTGATAACAGAAAACATGGGAGTAGGGTGTAAATTAACAGTGTCAAATGAATTGTTCATGAATCATTTGTATAATGTTCGTTTATTAAGCTAAATAAATGAGTATGAACAATTTTTTATATTAATTTAATAAACAAATAAACATGAATAGAGATGTGTTTGGTTTGTTTATGTTCACGAACAAGCTCATTTACTTGGTTTTCTATTCTTTTTGGTGAAGGAATGGACTAAATTGAACGTAGAATGAACTCTAGAGTTTAAAATGTGAAGCCTAATAAAATTAAGGACTAGTGTCTTGATTTCACCATTTTTCTTTGCTGGTAAATAAAAAGATAAACAAAGAGTGTGCAACTAAGGTGTTCGTAAACGCTAAACGAATATGTTGGCGAACATATAAATGAATATGTTCGCGAATGTTAAACGGAGTGAGCACGAATAACTTCAAAAATAAACAAACGAACATGTATTGAACATGTATTGAACATGAACATCTTTAAAAATAAACAATCAAACGCTAACACAATTTTATCGGTTCAAGCCCGATTCATTTACACCCTTTTACATGCAAGCACTAAACATAACCAGGTGCATGGCTAATGGCTTAATATCATATGCATTATGAGTTACAAACTAACCTCTTTAGCATTAGGATCTGGAATTTCTTTTGGAATCTTATCATAACCCTGCAACATCAAAATGACGTTAGACATATTCAGTATTTAGGTTTATATCATAAATAAGTATCTAAAGTATATTTTTATATAAGTACCTAAAATATTTTTGGTCAAAATAAATACCTAAAATTATTTTTTTTGTTAAAATAGGTAGCTAAAGTATTTTATGTTAAAATAGATACATAAACTATTCAAACATTTTCAATTAAGTTCTAAAAAAGTTAACACGTGACATTAATTAAAGAATACTTTAAGTACTTAAATGAAACCAACTGAATACTTTAGATCCATATTTTGACCAAAAAATACTTTATGTACCTAGTTTGACCAAAGAGATAACTTTATATATTTATTTTGATAAAAAAATACTTTAGGTACTTAAATAAAAAAGATAATATATTTTAGGTACTTATTTGTTATATAAGCGATATATCAAGTGAAAAAATCATTGACATGAAAAGTTACCTCAGGTTTAGTGGCATTAGGATCATCAATGTATTCTCTATCATCCCAATCAGCAGGCTGCAAAAAGATAAAAATTTAAAGCTTTGACCATGCATCTGGCCCAATAATTTTGAAGCATTTTAGGGTTTAACCGAAACGTTATCTGATCTACACGATTTATTATCACCTTCGTAGCTTCGAGGTCTCTGATTTTCCGGGGAGGAAGAATGTCCCAGTTGGAATACATGGTACCGGAATCGCGTTCGCGGTTATCGATGAGTATACTGTAACTTGCATCCGGCCTAAGAATGAAAGTGTAGAAATGAGTCAACTTGTCTGTTTCACATTCCAATTCCTTCTTGATGGGGTAATTCTGGCCTTGGTAAGAAAGTATAACATGGAGCTTCTTTGTTTGTGTGCCACATATATCTGGCCCAAACATTAAGCTGCAGGGTAAAAATCTGTGAGGATTAGTCCGAACTCACTCGAAGCTTCAAAATTATCAAATTTTTTTAACATGATATAGTATAAATTTTCTGGTGAAATGAAGTTTGAATCAAACCTATATGGGGTGTCCCCTCCAAATTTCTTTTGATTAACGAATCCAGATAGAAGCTTGATGTATCCGCCGCCGCATTCAATGTCCTGCTCGAACCGGATGGAGTATTGGAGGACCAATGTCCTGTTCTTATTTGTGAACTCGGGGATCTTTGCGGATATCGCAAAATGTTTAGCATCACCGGTCGTTTGAATACCTACAGAATTATACAGGTTGTTATATAACAGTAAAGGTACCGTCCGAAACTGTTATTGTACAATGACGATACTCGTAATGATCATAATACCACCTGTTATTGCTGCACAATAGAAAACTTGATCGCAATCGTAATTTAAATCAGCAGGGATTACCTTTATTATCAGGATCTCCAGACCACTTTCCGGGAGTGTGCTTGAATGATCCTGCTTTTCCTTCTGTTCTTTTCCAATCAGATTTTACCCAATTGCGTTGCCATCCGTCTGTTCACAGCATGGAGGGTAAACACAAGCAAAAAAGAAAAAGGATAAATTATGTATTTAGTATTTAAACTATCAGTTTTTATTCGTTTTAATACCTAAATTTTTAATTTTTTCAAAACTATACCTAATGTTTAATTTTTATTTCATTTTAGTACCCTTCATTAAAAATTTAATGCTAAACTATCACTTGTAATATGTTTTAGTATCTAACATTTCAATTGTTTTAAAACTTAATGTTAAATTTTGACGAGATACTAAAATGAAACAAAAATTAAAGTTTTTAACGACGGAATACTAAAATAAAATAAAATCTAAACATTAGATATGATTTTAAAAAAATAAAAGTTTAGATAAAAAACAAATTAAAACTAATAGTTTAAATAGCAAACTCGTAAATTACACAAAGAAAAACATACGAATTCCAAATAAAGAAAATAAGGCAAAAAAAAAGATAAAGAAAGAAGGAACAAATGGCAATACAAAGCAGTTAGTCAACGACCTCACAAAGGTTTTTTCAGGTGATGACGTAGTAAACTGAATTTTTAAAAATTATTGGGTAAACTTGTATTTAGTATATAAACTATTAATTTTGATTCGTTTCAATACCTAAACTTTAATTTTTTTTAAATCATATCTAATATTTAATTTTATTTTATTTTAGTACCTAACTTTAAAAACTTAAAGCGTTTAATATCTAAATTATAAATTTTGTTCCGTTTTAGAACCTAAACTTTCAATATTTTTTCAAAAATTAACATTAAATTTTGAACAGTATAATTAAAATGAAATAAAAAATAAATTTTATGTATAATTTTAAAAAAATATTTAGAGTTTAGATATCAAAATAGATCAAAACTAAGAGTTTAGGAACTAAATGTGTAATTTACCCAAAATTCTTTTTTTTCTTCTCGGTAACCGAACAAAAACATTCCATTGCCGGTGCCAAAGTTGGATCATAGTTTCAAACAGAAATAATGAATCAGAAAAGAGAGTATGAAAAAAAAGGAAGAAAAGTACCTTCGAAACGCTCTTCGAAAATGATTTCCGAAATAGAAAACCGAAAGAAGAACAAAAGGAGGAGCAGTTTAAGCGTGAGAATTGAAGAATGCGACGCCATTAGAGGAAGAGGACTTCTGCCTTGCCTGCTGGGAAGAAGCTTGAGCAACTTATAGAATGCTTCATAACTCATTCACCTTCATTCTTCCTATTATATACGGAAATGCCATCCATTGTTTAAATAAATCTGGGTAAAGTACACAAATGGTCCCCGACTATAAGATAATGCTACACTGAGTCTCTCGACTATTAGAAGTTACAAATTGGTCCTCAACTATAGAATGTTGCTTTGTTGAGTCTTTCAACTATTAAAAGTTGCAAAATGGTCACCTGACTATTCATTATGTTTCAAACTCATCATTTTCTATTAAAATTTGGTAGTTGACTAAGTTGGATGGTAACATGATAACTGAGATATGATAGTCATTTGAGATTCTAGGATTATATTTTAGGATAAACTATGCATTTAATACCTAAACTATCATTTTTTATCCATTTTAATATCTAAACTTTAATTTTTTTCAAAATCATACCTAAAGTTTAATTTTTATTTCATTTTAGTACCCTTGTTCAAATTTTTAACGCTAAATTTTGAAAGAAAAATTGAAAGTTTAGGTAGGTGCTAAACGCATTGAGTTTTTAACGGTGGGGTAATAAACTAAAACAAAAAGTAAATGTTAGGTATGATTTTAAAAAAATTGAAAGTTTAGATACTAAAATAGTCCATAACTAGTAGTTTAGGTACTAATTGCATAGTTTACCCTAGATTTTATCATATCACAATCAGTATATTAACGTTCAACTCATAATACTGTTATTTTTTTTAATAAAAAATGATGAGTTTTGAATATAATGAATAGTCAAATGACAATTTTATAACTTTTAATAATCAAATGATTCAATAAAATAATACTCTATAACCGAAAAATTATTTTATAACTTTTAATAATCAAAATACTTAATAAAATATTATTTTATAGTCGAGAGACGCCCTTAATTAATTTGTAGCGGGAATACAAAGTGCTTGCCGTTTTAATTGAGTTAAGACCCCACATTCTTGTAATGATTTGCACCTTTTGGGGTATCCATAGCCTATCACAGGTCCGGAGGACGTTGCATTGTCCAATTGTATTGCACAACACTTGGAATTTTATTTGGAAATGACAAGAAAACAAAAATATTACTTTCAATTTGATATTTAAGTCAAAATTGCAAGGAAAAACACATTAAACCAACTTAAGAAATTTGGGAAACTTTTAAAAAAATTGTTTAAAAACACTTTAACGTTTGATTAAATAGTTATTTTGATTTTTATTCTTTTTTATAGCATCTTGGGTCAACGTTTTATTTTAGGTTAAAAAATATCATCATGTTTGATTAAATGATGATTTTAACTCTTATTCTTTTTTTGGATCATCGTGACTCTGGATGTTTCATTTTAAGACAAAAAATTTACATTCAATGATCGTGCCAAAAAAAATATTGAAACAAAAATACGCCAAAAAAAAAGAACGGTAAAAACACAATGATGCCAAGGGGAGAAAAAAAAGGTAGTGGAAGGAAGACAATTTCAACGTGCATCACTCCATTCATCATAAACTCATTTCTAAGAAACTACACTTTGTGGAGAAATAAATATTACAATATTATTTATTTATTATCCGATAAATTCTATTTGAATCACTTACGAAATACGAGATATTGAGTGAAAATAATATTTTTTTTATTAATTCGAGATAAATATAAGATAATAAATGTTTAAAGATAACTCTTAATCATTTGAAATTAAACGTTTACATTTCTGATACTTGAATCGGAGCCCCCAAGAAATAATAACTATTTCTTTATCCTGAGTTCGTTCGGTTCTTGTGAAAAATAATAGATTACTAAAAAATGAAAAAATATTTCTTTTTTAGGTCTTTCCCTGTGAAATGGGTAGGGACCATTGACCGGCTGACTGTTTCAAAGTCAAAGTCTTCTGTTGGGTCTCCCATCCAATTTCCAACTCAGTCCACAAATAATAGCCACAAGTGTTAATGTCATCCCCACAAAAGGTTTTAGAAACTTGGGTAAACTACACATCTGGTATTTAAGCTATTAGTTTTGATCCGTTTTAGTATATAAACTTTTAATTTTTTTCAAAATCATTTAACTTTTGTTCATTTTAGTATTCCGCAATTAAAAATTTTATTTTTATTTTAGTACTTGTTCTAAATTTAACATTCAATTTTGAAAATTTGAAAGTTTAGATACTAAAATGGACTATAACATATAGTTTAGGTACTAAACACGTTAAGTTTTTAATGGCGGGTACTAAAATGAAATAAAAATTAAATGTAACTAAGTATGATTTTGAAAAAAAATGAAAGCTTAGGTACCAAAACGGATTAAAACTTATAGTTTAGGTACTAATCGAATAATTTACCTATATCTTAATTATATCGATAATATTAAGATTCGATCAAGGATAGACTGATATAAGCAAATGGGGCAATCGTCCCTCTAAAATTTTACATATGATATCAATATTATATACAAGTAAGGATAAACTACACCATTACTAACTGAACTTTACTCTTTCTTATTTCGCTCATTGTACTTTCAATTTTTTAATTTACTCATTGAACTTTTGAATTGTTCATATTTTGGTCACTTTAAATTATTTTATTATTATTTTGATATGACATGGCATTTTTTTATTATTATTTAATATAAAAATAATTTAAAATATAAAATTAAATTTAGATGGTGGTCGACGATGATGAGATGGGATGATGATTATTTTAAATCGTCTTAAATTCAATAATAAAAAATATTATTTTATTATTTATTTTAAATTATTTTTTATATTTAATAATATATAAAAATTTCATGTTATAGAATAATAATAATAATAAAATAATTTGTAGTGACCAAAACGATAATATTGTCTCCGAAATTTTTATGTACTTAATCTGAATATTAATTATCTTATATGTTTAAAAAAACATTGCATCAGCATGTGCACTATTTTTTTTTTGAATATCTGAAGAAGTTAAATGATGATTTTCTAGAGCGTTTTCTAAAATATTTTTTACCATTTCATTATGATCACCAATTAACTTAAGAAATTAAAAAAAAAAGGTTACCTTGATCGATTGAATTAGTAGAATCATCGTGTCCTCAAAGTGCTAGATATTGACTCGAAATATGTCAAACACAATCAACAAAAATAGTTAATCTTATTCGATTACTACTACGAGCTTCATTTGATTACCTTGAGTATTATGCTCAAATCAAGTCCCTATAAGAAAATTAAGGATAAACTACACATTTAGTATCCTAATTATCACTTTTGTTCAGTTTTAGTTACCTACCTATTTTTTCTTCAAAATCATACATATGTTACATTTTGGTTACTCATTATTAAAAAATTAATGATGATATTGACATGTCACTATAAGGTAATGACATGTTATCATTAAAAGAAATTAAATGGCAAATCAACAATTTTATTAATTTTTAATGGTAGATTACTAAAATGAAATCAAAACGTAACGTTAGATATAATTTTGAAAAAAAAATAATAATAGTTGGGTGACCAAAATAGAACAAAACTGATAACTGAGATATTAAACATGTAGGTTACCCTAAAACTTGTACATTCTCATAGGCTTTAGTACAGGCCATAGGGGATGTCTTGGTGAATCTGCCTTAACCATCAGTGATTTTTTATATTCAAAATGTGTTCTGTGTGGGGAAGGAAGGCTGATTACTCAGAACTTCCTTTCTGCTTTTAGGATCCTGCATTTTTTTAATAACAAAGGGTTAAAGTAAAAATAAACCCCTAATTTATGTGTTTTCTTTTTCTTTAAGTCTTTAAACTACTTTTTAGTCAAAATAAGACCTTAAACTATTATATGTAATCATTCTAAGTCCTGTCTTTTTTTCAGTTAGAATTTCTTTCAGCTAATAAAATGTAACATATCACACAAAATTAGGTACTTATTTTAACTAAAATATAATTTATGGATTCAAAGCAAAAAATATGTATAGTTAAGAGACTTATTTTGATCACAAAATAAATTTACCTAAAGTGTTTATATATAATAATTTAATGATTTATTTGACCAAAACATAGTATAAGTACTTATTTTTAGTTTAAGCCATTAACAAATGGAAAGGAATTAGAGGTGAAAGGTCAACATAAAAAGTAGGCATAATGTCAAAAATAGCTCCCAACGTTTATCAAAATGGTCATTTTGACTTTTTTTTTTGAACAAATTAGGCGTCAACATTTTATTTTGGGGCAAAAAAACTTCTTTTATAGATGAAAACCATTAGTTAATATACGATTAACGCTCTAAAATATGAGTCTTTTTAACCTAAAATGAAATATTGAGGGCTAATTTGCCCAAGAAAAAAATAATAAGGGACAATAATTACTTTATCAAATGTTAGAGGTCTTTTGTCCTAAAATGAAACGTTTAGGGCCAAAATACTCCCCAAAAAAAGAATTAAAGTGCAAAATGACCATTTTGATAAATATTTGGGACTAATTTTAGTATTATACCTAGAAATTATGGTGCATACATGTGATTAAACCAGTCATGAAATTAACCTTAAAATCCAATTTGATCAAATGAAATGTTTAAACCCGTGTTTGCCAAGAATCCTGTCACCCTATGTAAGAGTTATCATTCATCACTATTTTATGGGTCAGGATCCACTTACCCCATGTAAAATTAAGAGCTTTACACTTTTTTAGAATCATTGAATTGAGGGAAATCAATGACTAAAATTAACTCATTTTTCTTTTTCAGTGAATATCTATTATCATTTTCTACTATTAATTTTAGTTTTTGATTTATCTCATCCAATGATCCTAAAAAGGTATAAAAATCTTAGTTTTACATTGGATGTAAACGGATCCTACCCCTATTCTGTTGTTTAGGTCTAATTCTGTTGAATGGCTAAAGCCTAAGTTTTCAAAGATCCAACATTTCACAATTGAAGCATAACAAAATGCATATAAAAAATTATTTCCTTCCAATATTCAATGAACCAATAAGAATCCACTTGACTCGCAATGAAAGGAGCAGCTTGAGCCCCCGTTCTC